ACCAAAGAGATTAAAATTTTGTGCTACCACCGTGTGCTATCAATTTAGATGTGATGTTTTAAATATTCAACCGCTTTGGAGACGGCGTATAAATGCCTCTGTATTTTTAATTTATGATCTCCTTTTGGGTAAAATAGTGTCTAGTTCACTTAAAAATAAAATTGTATATACAAGACTGCAATATGACGAAAACCAAAGAAATTTAAGAAGTACAGAACTGATTAGAGTTAGGGCATTTTCATCGGATTATGCACATATTCAGCCGTTTTACGTGGCTTGTAGAAACTTTAACTTGATTAAGAGAAACATTTTTAGAATCGGCATCAAGACACATCTTTAGAAACAATATTGTCAAATTGGAAAATGTGATATTTGATCGGTGAAAAATTTAACTTTTAACTTTTAAGTGTTATAATGAATATAGAAATTAAAACAGTGAACACAATCGATATCTGCTACTCCGAAGTCGAAAAGGCTGGTAGCTGGGTATACGATCGGGTGGTGTTTCATTGTGAATGATATTGTACAAATTTTGTGATAAATTCAATCTGTGATCAGACGGTGAAATACATTAATAAATATCTATGTATACAATAACAAATTATAACCTATTACTTATTCACCTATTATTCTTTTCTAACTATTTGACTACATGATTATTTAATGAGAATTATATTATTTATACACTGTATATACATGTTGTAAAATACCTAAGTTCAGCCAGCATTTGGCGGTGAAATAAATCTAATCTATTTTAAAATCTAATACATTTACTTCTTTTGATTAAACAATTGAAAATGAAACAAATGTCCCGACTCGTTATAAACTCATTATCATTTTTAATTGTGAATTAAATTTTAATATGATTTTTCTGATGCTTATATAAAATAAAGAGTCTTACGGGAGTAAGACGAACTTTTCCGCACGGTGGTATTTGCGTATTTTATTAAGCGAGTTCAAAATAATATTTGTTCGATTTTTCAAGCCTTTCAAGCGGCATAAGGCTCGAGACCAAAAAATATGTTCAAACCTTGGCATCGAAATATTCTTTAATTTAATAGCAGAAGTACTCGAGAAAAGATTTTTCACACTTTCATGATGAACCCATTTGTACGACATTTGAAAGTATTTCATTTTCTAACAAAACACTATAAAAAAATATGTCTGACGTTAATTTTGCCATAAAAATTCTTTTTGAAACACTTTTCATTTTGTCACAAAAAATTTGGATTTTTGTATGGGAGCCATGTCTATATGCTACCTTAATGGCGTGAAACGTTGCACAGGTTATTTTGCTCTCAAAAAAATAACATTCGGAGAGTTTGGAGAAATTTCAACGAAAATTAAGAGTACCTCCCATACAAAATATTCGTTCTTGAGCCAAAAAATTGAAAATTTTGTTTGGGAGGTACCCCTAATTTTGATTGAAATCTTTTCAAACTTTCAGAATGATATTTTTTTTTGTGTAAAAAATAGTCTGTGCAAAGTTTCACGTCATTACAGTAGCATACAGGCATGGCTCCCGTACAAAAATTCAATTTTTTTTGTAATTTTTTCAAGGAAATCGTATCGAAAATTGATTGTATCTCAAAACTAACTACGGATTCGGTTTTCTCGTGCCAAAAAACCCCCCAATACATATTTTTTGACATTTGACTCTTTTTCATAGGTATCACTCCAGGCATGAATTTTTTTTCCATCAACCAAAATCGCTCAAAATCTAATGATTTCTATTCCTCGTGACCCCAAATCATCCTGTACAGTCAGATTTTAAATAACTTTTCTGGGGGGTGAGATAATCGATGGACAAATTTTGCGTACAGAGGACAACGTACGACGTACGACGTGGAACAGACCCACAACAACCATGCTCAAAACGGCTTGATTCGGGTTCTTTGACCTCAGAAACGTCCAGAAAACATGTTTTTGAGATGTCGTAAATTTTGACCTATTGCAATACTTTTCCCTTTCACACTAGGTGTGTGCGGAAAAGTAATATGGTACCGTTGAAAAATTGTCAAACACAAATATATGTATGTTCGACATCTGCACTTTGGCCAAGAAAAGAAAAAAATTCTATATGCCAATTTATTTAACATATGACCAATTTTCTCACCGCAACATTATTTTTTATGGACTGTACGAAGAACGACTGTGAAATTAAAACAGTTCTTGTACATCTTTTATATGACCTGCTCCACACGCATTTATTCTACATTATGTATATTGCTTTTATTGGGCTGAAGCTTGGAAGGTTAATTAAACATAAGTGGAGAATGGTATAAAGCATTGAGTCATTCTTTATTAATGGCCGATTGCATTAGTGGTTTTGTTTGTGAAATGCAGACAATATATTGAACTAACTGGTCAGCTGAGCTGGAAGTACGTTAGCCAGCTAAATGGGATAAAACAATAAAAGTTATTGTTATAATAATGAATCATTCTTCTATTGTTTTAACAATAACTTTTATTGTTTTAGCTCACACAGTGAGATATATTTGAGTGAAGTTACTCTGATGTTCGGAGTTAGTAGAGAGTCTACCCCTCAAAATGAGTTAAAAGAGTATGATTTACACCGGTATTGGTGCAACATGCGTAAGTCGCTTGTAAACGATCTAAGTGAATAGCGGCGACGCATGGAAACGAAGTGAGTGAAGAGCGGCAAAGGAAGACATTTTTTCTTTGTTGTGTTGCCGCTATTTCTAAGTAAATCGCTTACAAGCGACTTACGCGTGTTGCACAAATACCGGTGTAAATCATACTCTATTAACTCATTTTGAGGGGTAGACGCTCTACTAACTCTGAACATCAGAATAACCTTACTCAAACATTTCTCACTGTGCATTTAGCTGGCTAACGTACTGTCAGCTTAACTGACCAGTTAGTTCAATATATTGTCTGAAATGAGCGTCATAAGTTCGCGGATGTAGCACATACGAGTGCCGTGAAAAAGTAAATAATTTTTCCATATTCGCTACGCAAATCAAAGAATCTGATCAAAAAGAGTATATTTTTATTTAAACTAATTTAACGACAGATGGCGATACCAAAAATGGAGCTTTCGATAGTGAAACTCATGGATTAGATGTTTCAGATTGAAACTTTCAATCTATGCTATATAAGTCAATAGTATTTCGTCACCTGATGTAATATAATAACATTTCAAACATACACTTTGTTCCCATCAAACTGAACGGACACTTCTTCTCCATTTAAAAATATTTCCAAAGAAAATCAAATATTGAATTGGAAAACTTTTATATCGTAAAATGACGACGAATATGGCGAATAAGTGACGCAATTTTATCTTTCCATTCGAAGCTGTCTCAAAATGTATTGTACAATTATAAAAAGCAAAAATTCCATTAGTCTATAGACATTCTGGCGACGTTTTTTTGGTATTGAAGAGAGCAGCAACATTCAACAAACATTGTGTAGAGTAATGAGTTTATTCTGATTTGAGGTAAATGGGCACAAATGCTGCTACTGGGTCAACAATGTGTGAATGGAAAACGCTTTTCTACGAAACATATAGTGTCGTTCACCTCGCACACTATGTAAATTTGATGCTCTAATATGCCTCTTTTTTATTTGAACACCAACTTCGTATAAAATATGCAAAACAAGCCATTAACAACACATTGAATGCGATCAGTGCCTGAATTCTGAGCAACATTCAAAACTATTTTCATTCAAAACATTGAATCAAAAAAAAAATATTTTCATAAATATTGTTGGCTAGTCCCCTAACGAAGAATTGCAAATAAAGACATTACATGATCACTTTTTCAGAACAATCAAAATAATCGCTTTGATCATATACAAACAATGTTAATTTTTTACGAAAATCAAAACGAAAAAATATTAAGACTAACTACAGATGAATACACTTTTTTCAACTAGTACCCAAAAGACTTTAACATTTAAACGATGAATTTAAATTAACAAGTTTCACTATAATACATTGCATAAAGTTGAATGTGAAACGTGTAAACATTATCTGTCTATGTATTCTAATTGTATTTTTTACAATCTCAGGAATTAAAGTATACGAAAATCAGATCTTACAATCGATTCAATTTCATAACATTTTTGGACCTTGAAACTTTTTAAATGATACAACAACAAAAACATCAAACGTAATGACAACAAACGTCTTTCTTTCTTACATTCCAACTGCATGTATAAGATCTATCAGAAAAGATGGTGTGTGGACAAGTTTAATATTCAAGCTTTCTGCGTTTAGAAAGTTTCCGCATGGTATTCCATTTATAGACATATAGCCATCATATTTCATAGAAATTGATCAATGGTTTTTGCTTCATGTTCAACCATTTGCGATGCAAATATTATTCATCACTTTTCAGGAAATGCTTCAAATCGACATAGTTAGTATATGCGCTATTTAACATTGAAAAAAAAAATGGCAGTAAAAAATTCTTAACATTTTGATTTATCGATACATTTAGTTTTTTACGCATTCAACGGAAACAAACAATTTGAAATCACTTTTTTACAAATGTGTTTGTGTCGTAAGTTAGTTAATTTCGGGCAAATACCTATGTGTCCGTAACGGTCCAATGAATAATTTAATATTATTTATTTTGTACTTAATAATTTTCAAAATCGACGTGACCCAACAAAATGTTGTTGTTATTATTTCAATTCCTATGTACTTCTTTAAATTCATACCAAATGGAATATTTCGAAGAAAAGTTTCAATACAGGCCTATAAACTTGAATATGCGCATTTGAATCATTCAAATAACAATATCAATAGGTCAAAAGCTTGCAGGAAAAACGTTCAAATCTTTTTAAATTTACCTATAAAACGTGTTGGCTTCTTTTGAATTAAATTCACGAAAACGTGTACAAGTTGATAGATTAAAATCGATTTCATATCTTCAAGAAGACACATTATCTAATTTAACTTTGAAGTATTTCTGATAATAAAGAATTTTGTAAATAAAATTGATATATATTGATTAGCTTTTCCTTACTTTTCACAATTTTAAGCTTCCTTGATGATAATGATCTGCAAATTCGTTCCAATTTCTATTACTAGAATATTATTTAAAACAAACAAAAAATCACAAAAATTCCGTCTGCATTTCGAGGTGATTTGTTCGTATTTTGTTTGCTCTCTGGCCACACGTTCTTTATTCTGTATGACAAATTTTTAGTATCGCTACTTATGGATGGAATGATCGAAGATTCAACCAGTTTCCACACTGAAATTATTCAACTTTCCCAATTGTGTATGGGAAATATTCACTACTAAACGTTAAATAAATTTAAAGCACAACTAAAGATTGCGTATAACAAATTTCAGATGAAAGACATAAATGTTTTTTTTTTACAATTATACAGTTCTAGTTTGGGGAGATTTTTTTTTGAACTTATACGTCTCGCGCACTTTTAATGACTGAGAGTTTTTACTAGTTCAACAACACTGAAATAACAATCGACATCAAACGATCAGGTATGCGCACCTTTAACCAATTTTAAAATCATATATACATAAATAAATACGAAAGTAAAACCGAAGCATTGACTCGTCTGGTGAGCGATTGAGATACATCATAATTCGCACACGCTGCTTTTGAACTACACATAAGAGCCATACATTCTTAAAAGGCAATACAACAAAAATATATTCGTGCAATTTACAAAGTAAAAATATATTACGCGTTTACAGTGACTGTGTCGTTTGTATACTTTGCATTTTGTTGTTTGTGACTCCAGTTTGACTCTTTTTTTATTTATTTGTTTATTTACTTGTTTCTGCTACTCCAATGAATACTGGTGTGAGAACTGAGAAAATACCTATAGTACGCTTTATAGACATTCCAATCACATTGGAATCATTGCGATCTGCTGTGAATGATCTATACAAGAGAATTTTTTATGAAACGAGTGATTTGTTTAATTTTTTATTTTAATCACATTTTTTCCCTATCAATTTTCTACGTTAGACATTTTCTAAATTCCAATTTTTATTTTATTATAATGTATTTAATTAAAAAGAATCAATCGTTCGTATCGACACACAAGTATGAAAAAGACAAAGTACGCAACACAAACAAGGAATATGTGTCAATTAATTTACTGCGCTCAGCGGCTGAGAATCAGCACCTGAAAATATCAGCTCTACCAGTTTAGGTCATACATTTTATGTAACGTATTTTGGTTTTTGTAGGCTAAAATTTCGTCTTCAAATATGAAATTGAGCAGTAAATATGTATCACTTTGTATGATCACGCAAAAAATTCGCGGTAAGCAATTGAAGTGTGCACTAAATTGTTTGGTTTTCTAAGAAATCAAATAAAAATTGTCACGTAATATATGTGATATGTGCAAAATAGTCAACAAATAATATGTATTCCTTCATTCATTTCTCTTTCTCTTTTACACATGTTTTTGGCCATTTCCAAATTTTATATAGATCCGTAAGGTCATGGGCCGCCAAAAGATTCACAAAAGCCATTGGGTTTGTGTCGCTTGATGATCTCTACTGCTGCCACTGATTGACACACTTTTTTTGAGAATACATGAAGATGTAAAAGAAACAATACAACAATAATAAAAACACGTTCAGATATGAACAACCAGGTTGACCATGCTACGATTCACTTCCTAGTGATTCACATTGAATAATTAATTTTACAATCATGCGAGATAGAACGCGGAACATTCACGACAACAATCATAATTTTCTTCGCATCAGGTTAATCAGTTCTCTATATCTCGGCCGATCGTTGTCATGGTTCGTATTAAATCATTGCGAAGTAAAACAAAAAGAAACGGAAATACAATACATAGTTTTTCCCGTATTTGATTTTATATTTTATGCATCTGCTTGGCATACAAAACAACTCAATTTCTGTCTTACGAATATAATGTTATTTATTGTGACGAAATTTCAAAACAAATATTTATGTCACATATGTGTAAATATATATTCTATTCAGTGCGCCAGATATTGAAATTGCATAATCTATATAGTGTAATTTCCAAAACTTCCTGATTTTAAGACTTGATTAAAGGTCAATGAAGGACTGAGAAACAGTAGGTATATAATTTTTGTATATTGCAACAATATTTCTAATTTATTTTATTCAGACAAAACATGTACATGTACACTATATTTCCTAAATTGGAGGCCTCAATATATTTTGAAACCTCTTATCGTCTCTTCTTATTCTTATTAAATATGGTTCCGCTTTAAGTATATACTATAGTTCTGCTATAGCAGAGTCCTGTTTAGTCAAAAAATAGACTTATTATCATCGTTTTTTATTATAAGTAATTAGTTAAACCTCATTAGTATTAACTAACGTCCTTTTTCGTAATATAAAAAAGCACGCGTGAATTTGATTATGAAAAATTCATATAAAAAAATGCAAAAAATTATGATCGTCCTACACTTGGTTTGTGTATTGGTATAAAGTGCGAGTAAATGACAACAGACGAAGCAAAAAATTGTTTTCTTGAAAAAACTGAAATATCAAAAATAAATAAAAAATAGAAATGTGAATATAAATTAAATTATTTTTCATTTTCATTTTTATGCGCTTACTTTCTTATAATATTTTTTCTCTTGTTTGCCAAAAATGGAACCTTCGTAAAGACAGACGAAATTTGACGTTAGTCAAGGTTTCTTATCTAACGTTAGTTAACTAATTGTGTTTTGATAACTACTAATTAGTCAAGCCACTAACACATGATAACTGATATAGTGAATATAACTAATTAGTTGAAGATTTTAGTTAAAACTAATAAATTATAATCATAATCATTTATGATTCAAAAATTATAATCAACTGCATTGAACCAAATTATTAAGTGATTCATACTTTTAATGAATTTCAAGATTTTAAAATTTGAAACAAAAAGCAGTTGATATTTGGTCCATCCTGCCAAAACGAGAAGAGGTCCATCGTGTGTATATCAGACATTAGGATTGAGCTATGGATATAGCGGCTGCTATTTCATAGGCGCTATTTAACTCGTTTTAAGGCGTTTATGCATGTTGTGCGTTATTTTCTACAAAAGAATAGTAGGCTATGATATACCTACTCGGTGTTAGATACAGCACACGAATTAAATAGCGCGAATGAAATAGCAGCCGCTAGATGCATAGCTCGAGCCTAATGTCTGGTGTAGGGTAAAGTCGGGTGATGTGAAACACGTTTTTATTTTGTGTCATGAAAATATCAACAAATTGAATTTTTAAACAACTGCTCTATTCTGTAGAGGAAGGAAAATCCCAAATATATGTAACGGTGGATTTTCAAAATTTTGTATTTTTCATATTTTTTTTTAAATTTTCAAAAACATTGATTTTTGCTAGGGGGGAGACACCAAGAATAAATTCCGAATCCACTATATAAATTACTAATCCAGCTATTCCACTAATCCAAAAACACAAATGTGAAATCGAAACTATTTTTCCTATTCCATGCACTGTTTCCGTCAAAAATGTTAATTCTGCTATTCCGCACTATTCCACTAATCCATCAATAAACGTCAAAAGAAATGTCGAATGGATTTGAAGTGAAACAATTTTTGCTATTCCATGCACTGTTTCGCTGTTCCACGCGAATTAATTCACAGGCGTTGCTATTTTATTGCAATTTCTCGAATCTTTACACTAAAAGTCTAATCCTATTCCACGTGTCTGCCCCCTAAGATTTTTGGACTTTTTCAAAATGGTAGGGTGATGTGAAACAAGATTAAAAATCGATGATAAAAATGATAAATATCCACATAAATCGCTTTAGATGTTCAAAAAATATTTTCAAAAAAAATGAAATAATGTAAAATAGCGTCAGTAGGGTGTTTCACATCACCCTACAAAAAATGCTTCACATCACCCCACTGACGCTGTTTTGCGCGGAATGACACTACACAAAAACCATGTGAGCAAATCACAAAATCTCTTTGGATTATTGAAGATAAACAAAAAAGCAACACTATGAATATCGATATGTCGATTTTTTTCTCACAAAAACACGATTTATATGATGGCTTGGAAAAACTTTTGGAATAAAATTTTCACTCGATTGTAGTAGAGCAACAAAATGTGCGTATTACCTCGTGTATGTTTTCTAGAAAACAAGCTACTGTCAATAGCAATTGATGACAGCTTCTTTTGACCAGTGATGGTTCTTTGCTGTCTGAATAGCGCTAGATATTCGCAGCGTCTGCCCAGCATTGCTGTCCAGATGCTGATTCGATGCATTCACCGCACGTCGCTGTGTGTGGCACAAAAAAGTGTGTTCCGTATGCGGTATGGGGTGAACGCATCGAATCAGCATCTAGGCAGCAATGCTGTACAGACGCTGCGAATATCTAGCGCTATTCAGACAGCAAAAAACCGTCACTGCTTTTGACAGCATCTGTCATCGTTACGTAAGAAAATTGAGGCTGTTTCACATCACCCGACTTTACCCTATATATTTCTATTATTTCTTTCACTAAAACATCGCACAATATATTATGGAAATTTACGGGGTATCCCTCACTTTCTCACTTTCTTAGAGGTACTTTTTACTAGTATGTAAATTTAATTTTATTGCATATTATATCTCCCCTAGGTTTAATACATTCACACTAAAAAGTGATTTGAAGAGTTGAATAACAACGACTACAAAAAATACACATTCAATACGTATTGAATAAATCGACGACCCACTTTAAATAATAAAAATTCCATTTCCAACTTTTTTCATATTCCAAATTGTCCAGACTTTGCACATTAAGTTTGACATAAGTAATTCAATTTATCGAAGAAAGTACTTTTAAAAAACTTTATTATATTAATATTTACACCGTAAAGGATTAAAATATCCAGTGAAACATTGCAAACGAAAGAGACTAATCGCACTGGACAGAAATTTCATAAAATTCATATTGTATTCCTGTGAATTTTGAAAATATTCCAGTCTCACAGGTGTATATGTTTGTTACCACAAATTTATTTGCTATTTTGCACGCGATTCATATGTTCCACCAACGTTGAGTCAATTGAGTGTATGAGTGAGTGAATGCGCGATTGAAATAGTATGTGGTTGCCTTTAATGTGGTAAAATAAAATGCAACCCCTTTCTTAGTTTTTTTTTTTGGCTTGTTTGCAGTGTTTGTTGTGTACAGTACAATATATAGTATTGATGATTGTTGCTTGATGCTTGCCGCTGTCGTAGTTTTTTCTGGTTTGTTTTGCACTTTATATCCGTCAAATAATAAGGAAAAGAGCATTACCGCGTTCGATTTTAATAAAAGTACACATAGTGATATGATGATGCAGTCATATCGAAAATGTAATGTGACCACAATTTTGCACTTGCACACTTTCGGATTTGGACTATTGCTGTCAAATCAAATCAAATGAAACAGAGACAGATACATACACGCACGCGCTCACTTGCTTAAACTAATTCAAAAAAAATCTGATGCCCGACTGCAATGACTGAAAAATAATAAGTAAGAACGAAAACGTTAACGTGGACAAAAACGAGAAAGGAAACACGAGAGCTTGGACTCACATGTGCGCTTGAAACTTGAAAGATCGTGAAAATTCAAAGTGCTAAATTACATACAAAAGTGAACCAAAGAAATCATTTCCAATTTCTTCGATTTGAATTTTACCAGTCATCAAAAGAAATAAGTACCAATTCCAAAAAAGTGAAATCCTGTTGAACGTGATAATCAATTTTCCAAGAAGTAATTAATTGTTCAATTACCGCTAAGGAAACGCTTGTTTTCAACTATAAATTATGGTGTCAGTTTTTTTGACCCTTTTTTACATAGGTTGTATGCAATTCATTACAGAATTCAATGGAATAATATAAGTACTTGTGAAGCAAAAACAAAACAAACAACATTGGTCTTCAGTAAAATGTGTATCGAAAACATGATATATTGAGTGTACTGGAATGAAGTGTATTGAATTTGTCATTAAAAATATTTCACATGAACTTGGGAAAAGCGATTTAACTTTGAATAATTAAAAAAAAATTATCGGATATTTTCATTCGCTTGTTGAAAGTTTTTCGAAGGTGTTTAGTTATCTTTATACAAATATTTGAAATTGAGCATCTTTTTTGCAATGTTTTACAATTTAAATAATTCAAAAGACTTATGTAACCAAAAAAAACTTATTTTAAATAGATACTATAGAAACGACATAATTTAAATTCGAAAAAGACGCGAAAGTGTCGTCTTTCATTGCTCATATTGGGCTGACATTAGTGGTCGCTTTAAGCTTGGATGAATTCCCACAACAAGTCAAATTCAAAATCGGTGACATCAGACACTTTGGTTTCAAATGAATAGATCGCGCATATGAGCTGAAAATAAGCACATCGCACAAAACTGTGCGAAAGAAAAAAGAACAGAAGAAAAGATACAAGTGATAGAGAGGGTGAAAATAAAAAAAATGTAACTAGCGTGTGCAATAATAATTTCCCCTAAACTACAAAATTTTAGTGCATCCGTATTACCGTTGGAAAGCCATTGGAAATTGAAGTCATAAACTAAGCACAATAATGTGATTGTCGCAATAAGTCATAAACATTTTCCTCAAAATAAACCTAGTCATTTGTCAATTTATTGTTGATTTTTCCAAAATCTTGTAAAAGCTGTTTCGTTTCCAAAATATACGCGAAGTATGCAACATTTCGTTTAAAATTGAATTTATGTTGAATCAGTAATCTATTGCCATATAGCGCTATAGAGAGAAATATTGTAAATTTGAGTGGAAAAAAAGAAAGGAAAGAGGTAGCTATAAAAAATATAAAGAAATATCTATACCTATAGCACATTTTGAACAGAAGTTATGATTTAAATATTTTGTGTCACTACATTGTTATCTATAACCAAAAGAGCACCAAAGAGTTGTGAAATGCCAAATAAGTTCCACTGCAAAAGATGTTCGCTATTCTCAAGAAAAAACCATTTGCGATTATTTTTCTGCTGTCATGGTGAGTAAAAAATTATAACTAAAAATATGCTTAAAAGATGCCTGAATTTGTTTTCCAGAGCGTTCTACAGTCAAAGATTTTTATTTATATTATTGTGATTGGTGTCTCTCACGAACTATAGTGGCCATAATTATAATTCAAAAAAATACCTGAAATTATACAGAACGTGAATTTTACGTTTTCTAAGTGAAGGAATTTTATGAAATTTGAAATAAACAATAAATCAGTAATTTCAATCTATGTAAAAAGTCATTCTGCTATTTGTGACAAACAGTTCCAGATCATCATGTAATGTGCATCAGTTAATGTACATTGGGCACATCATTTTTCTTCGAACTATAATTAATTACTAAAGTGTTGTATCCATGGTTGTATCACAATAAAAATGATAAAGAAAAGTATTTTTTGTTGAAACCCATTACCGCCTCTTGTGCTTAAAAAAACATAGGTATACTGATCTTATCCAAATTTATACAAAGACGATTATGTTTATATTAATCAAAAGTAATATTACAAATTATCACGTGAGAGAAGTGCAATGCCGCAGATATCTGTTAAATATAAATTAAATCAATTTTCACACCTTCATGCAATGAATTCTTTAGAGTAATTTGATTTTGTAAACGTATAACTCGACTAATCATACAATATTTGAGCTCAGACAGTTGGGATTAAAATGGGAATTTGCGTTTTTTTACGCGAGACCAATGTACTCCTTCTTTTTTTCAACCAAAATCGTTGTGAATTAGTAGGTGGGGCACCTACAGTACCACAACAGACATCAACGGATGTAATTTAGACCCGATAAGTGCGAGCTGTGTCTAATGTTGGACACCAATCCCATTATGTCACATTTCTGTGGTAGATTTGAACGCTCTAGAATAAAAACAACTTATTGGTATGTAAGAGAACAATAACATTACGTTTTGTATCTATCCGCCAAATGTCACATTCACACTTATAAGTTTACGTATGGAGATTTTAACAATATCATTTCTACAAGATCTACACACTCTACACCCGAGGCTTTTTAAGTTAAATTAAAACTCATATAAATTTATGTTTTTTTAAATAGAAATTATCTAATGCTAATTGTGCTAACTTCAATTTCAAAACAAAAAAATGAAACAATTTATTAAATTATTTTTCAACAATTTTTGGAATAACATATGCGCTCATTCTCAAACTTGTGAAATAATATCCCATTCTATATATAGATGGCACTGTCTATACGAAGTTCGGCAAACAAAGCATTACGCTTATTGAACGCATTACACCTCTTTAGCGTTCAGCTGTAACCGTTTCGCCAGGTTTTAGCAGCTCATAATACACCACACCTTTCTGATCCCACCAAATGCACAATATGACCTTCTGGCGATGAATATTCCGGCTGCGAAGGTCCTGGTTGACCTGGATCAACATAGGCTCCATTACGTTTGGAGTTTTCGTAATATATCCATTTCTCATTGCCAGTAACAATTCATCTAAAAAAACTATGTCTTTTGGGTTCTTTAAGATGTTTTTTGCATGCTGTGATTCGTGCTTGGAGCTGATTTTCAGTCAGTTGATGTGGTACCCATTTCCCTAGCTTTCAGATCTTTCCCATTGCATGCGAACGTCTGAAAATGGTTGCTTGGTCAATATTTAACTCCATTGCAAGTTTTTCTTGCGTTCGGGCTGAGTTTTCGTCCAATAATGCTTGCAATTCCTCATCTTCAAACTTTTTTGGTTGACCTAGTCGTTCTTTGTCTTTCAAATCAAAATCACCACTTTTGAATCGTTGAAACCATTTTCTGCAGCTTGAATCTACTGGAGCTTGTCTACCATAAGTATCCGAAAGCATTCGATGCGCTTCAGCCGCAGTTTTCTTCGTATCAAAACTGATTAACTTATAACAACTTATCACGATCCATTTTGAATTGATTCAAAAATAATGACACTGTATGAAAAACAAAACTTTCTGCTCTGAATTAGATTGGCAAATGTCACATGTACAAAATGCAATTCGATTCAGCTGTCAAGCCACACACAATTTTAAGTGGAGACATCTAATTGTCAGCGATCAAAATTAATGCATACACCCAATATTTCAAATCTAACTCCAACTCAAATATTATCATTGCAAATGCTGAGGCGGTATACATGGATGGATTATATAATGTCAATACAAATTATGACCTAGCTTTAAATATTCCGATCAAGTGCAGACACTATGCCTCCCATGTGACGGCAAAATCTATTAAATGGTTATGTGATTAATAAATGCCAATTTTGGCTAATTACATTAATTGCATTTATTCGCTCGTTCAGCACTTATGAAGTAGAATGACAGGAAAAAGAAAAAAAAATTCACTGAGTGCAATCTCTACATATACCATTCTTACACTCTATACTCGTAATGACTATTTTTTTAACAGTCAGAGCAACGAAGTATATGCAAGCGACACTCATTGCATTCCACTCAGGCGTAATAGTTGTTGGCACATCTACCATTTTTCTTTTATATTTGTTCTTTTCTTTTTATTAAGAACAAAACTGTGTATCTTTCGATAGAGGGCACCACTTAAAAACACACAATATTTAATAGAAATTTTTTAGGACATTTCTACACATTGCGTTTGGCAATGGGAGAAAGGGAAAATGTGTGCTGGGGGTAGAATAATAGATATTTTTTGCTGCTATTCATTATTATTAAGTGTGTATTAGTGCGTTAGTTCGTTAGAGCTATGACATTTCGATAATGTCGCCTTGAAAAATTTTCTGACATCAAATTCACAAAAAAATGTAATACTGTTGTCTACAGGTCTGTGTATATATCGTTGCATTAGTATGAAATAGTAGTAATCTTACCACACGGTTCTTATTCAGCGTGTGTAGATTACAATATTATTTCATATTTTGTTACATTTATAAACAACAATATCACGAATTCGAAGTACCCAGTATGATTTGATTTTGTCAACATTTGAGATAATTAGAGAAGATTAACAACGACCAATTCTCAAGAAAAGTGGAAGGACAAATTCACAATTGTATCACAAATGAACTCGTTGTCTGCCCCTGAAAGAAAAACGAAAGGAAAACAATATTGCACGCTGGTGTAGACTCAGTATAATCAGAATAATGTGTGCTTGTATGTTGGGGAAAGGCCTTTTTTCCTGAAATCAATAAAATTGAAATTATTGGCACGATTTTTATACATAGCAGCGAAAACACCCAAAAGAAAAACATCGAACGATGGACAAAAGGTAATGAAAATTGTATGCACGATATGTCGCTGTCAATCCACCACTCCATCGTCGTCGCCAACTCTGTGAAATAAAAACGAATTGACGAAAAAAACGATTGCCTTGCAAAGCATATGTGAAATTTTACAAAAGCCAACAAAGAAGAAGAAACAAAAAATTAATTCAAAATGCACATGTACCAAATGCTGTCGCTTTGCTATCAACTGAAAATCAAAAATTTAAATTTCAAACACAACACTGAATTACCGGAAAGAACTTCACATTTTGCTGCATATTTTTTTACAACCAAATTGCAAAGAAGCAAAGTGGCGCGCGCAAATGGTAGACACAAAACTGAATTTGAATGGCAAATAAATCGCTATTGTCACAACAAAGTATCTCCCGCGGCCCATTTTGTATGCTGCCGAACACATAAGTCGTATTTTTCCGAACTTTTTAATGATGAACTTTCAAATTTTGTAACGAACATTTTTTTTTTCAATTTAACCCAACTGTGTTCAAAGTGGGTCCATTAGATATCAAAGTATTATTACTATTAACAATTTTGAGATTTCGTTTGCATCCTCTATGATTAAATAGCCGATTGATTTTCTTTTTAGTTAGTGTGAAAATATTGAAGTTTTATTGCAAAAATAATGTCACTAGTGGCAGGGTACACCGCACACAGTCTTTTATGTATTTTATATATTTTTCGATAATTCACATAAATATGTATATTTCTTAAACGTTTATAGTTTCCATAACACTTACGTTGAAGCAAAAAAAAATTATACATTGAGACCAAGGGTGGTTCTACCAGACAGTTATGTTAAAGGTAGATAAATAATGTATTTATTCAATGTTTATGTCTAATTAATTTGTTTTAACATCAAAATTGACTATCTCAGAAGTGCGTCCGCCAAATAAAAAGGGATTGCCCGTTGTTGTTAAGTTTAGCGTTTACGTTGTAGATATTAATTCGATAAATGTTGAAGATATGGACTTTCGTGTAGACATGTTCATACGTTCACAATGGAAGGAATCTCGATTAAAACTTCCGAACGATATATTTGAAGAAGGTGGTAAGTGTTTTCAATGAAATGTATTTATTCGTGTATTTTTTTGTCAACACTCTCTGAATACTACTACTGTTTTCAAAAAGATGATTTTGTGATACTTCCTCAAGAGTTTTTTGAGAATTTATGGCAACCTGAACTGCAAATTCAAAATTCAAAAATCGCAGGTAATTACAACAATATATGTTCCATTGTACCCGATAATCAGAAAACAAATGATATTTTCTCAGATCGAATTAACTATTATTTTCATTATTTTCGGAACAGAAATTGCGACATTGACGCACAAATTTTCATCCGTTACATTATACAAAAACAAAACAGTACGTTATGCAGCCCGCATGCATGCAATAATCGCGTGTCAAATGGAATTTCAGGTATTTCACATATTTATATATTTAAATTACGTATTTCATATGAATTTGAATATAGAATTGAACAAATTTCTCGTACTTTGGTTTTTATTTAGCTTTATCCGATGGATATTCAATCGTGTCCGATCTATATTGAGAGCTGTGAGTAAACAATGGCTACTGTAGCCACTAAAACATTCAAATGACACACTTAATTGTCACACTGCATTTCCTTTTTCTCCTTTCTTCACTTACAGTCACATATCCAAATCAAAAAGTCCGATTGCAGTGGGACGATGCCGGTGTCGTTTTAAATCCAGAACTGAAATTACTGCAGTACAATTTGGGACAACCGCTCGAAGTAGCCGAAAGCTTTGGATATATGCCCGAGAAACATGGTTTGTAATAACAAATACTTTTGCTGATAATAATGCAATAAGCTCAATTCTTGTAATTTTGGCTACAACGAATGGTAATAAAGCAGACTCTAACTCACAGAAAAGTTAAATGAATTTCGGTTCCGATGCAATCTCTTAAAAAGTTAATTTTATCCTCAAAAATGTTCAGCGTGAAAATCTTTTACCTGAGCTTTGCTATGCTTCGTAATATTTACAAGATTTTTGTCACCGTCCAATACAAACAAATCTCACGAAAATCTACATATGCGAATAAATTGTGAAAAATGAGCATACAAGAAAAAAAAACCTATTCAAACTAAATGCAATAAATTAATTTCTCTCCGTTATTTTCATCATACTGAAGTTTTCTTCATTGCTAGTGGCGACGATTAAAGTCAATTTTGAATATTATATCCAAAAATCTATTTTTGTCGGCATTGAAAACTGTCCAGAAAAGTTAAACATTTCATGACTAACGCTTAAAATGTGAACACTTGACTTTAAAAACAATAGTAAATAGTTGAAAAAGTTTTTTTTTATTTCTTGATTGTTTGTGTAGGTAATTTTTCACGTCTCACAGTAAATTTTCGCTTCGAACGACAAATTGGCCATCATTTAATTCAAACCTTTGCTCCATCAACTTTGGTAAGATGTTTGTTAATATTGTGAACACAATTAACATAGTTTATTCAGTTATTTCATTTTCAAACGTATGTTTGCAGGTCGTCATGTTGTCTTGGTTTTCATTTTGGTTAGGTTTAGACGCGATTCCAGGACGTGTGACTCTTTTGGTGACATGCATGTTAACATTGGTTACAATGTTCACGGGTTTAAGAGCCGATATTCCTCCTGTAGCTTACATAAAGGTATGTGAAAGCAAATCTTCAAAACCGCTTAGAATAAAAGTAGATAATGGTAGAAAGTTAAAAAAAAATCTCAATCATAAAGTTCTGTGAAAATAATACTCAATCAAGAAAAAATTAAAAATAAAAGTCGGTCAAAAAATGAGTAAAAATAATACTCAATCAAGGCCCTTGATTCAAGGGAAAAAGTGAAAATAAAAGTCGACCATAAATTATATTTTCATTTTAATATCACTCATTTGGAAAAATTCGATCATAAAATGAGTAAAAATAATACTCAATCAAGAGAAAAAGTGAAAATAAAAGTCAATCATAAAATGAGTGAAAATAAAAGGCAAACACAAATTATGAACAATTTTTTTTTCACTTTTTTTCTTGATTGAGTATTATTTTCATAGCACTTTATGATTGAGATTTTTTTTAACTTTCTACCATTATCTACTTTTATTCTAAGCGGTTCATATGTTTATTGAATATTGTCCTCGGTAAATGCATGACGTTATTTAAAAAAATGCACACCATTTCCCATATAGGCACTTGATTTATGGATGGCTGGTTGTATGATCTTCGTGTTTGCTGCTCTTGGTGAATTTGTAGTCGTTAAGGTCCTCGATGTTCAATATCAATATCAAATAAATCGTGTTCCAAAAGTACTGCCAATGGTAAATATTTCAATGCTATTGTTTTTTTTGCTTTTTGCAAAATAAATTGTGAATATATATGCCATATTTGTTTGTTAACAGAGAATTAGTGCAATGGAAAAAGGTCAATGCCCCACCATGGTGGCTACGTGGGAAAGCGGAAATGTTCGATCGCGAAAAGCAACGCCAACTACTGCAACAACCCCTGGACAGGTTTGTGAATTTCTTTGTTTCAACGATTTCCAATAAAAATAATATTTCAATTATTGGGTGTATCGATTAATTTTTACCGTTTTTTGGGTGAAAATCTATATTTATTTGAATAACAAAATGAATGAGTACATTAACCAATGTATTGCCCATCGTTAGCTATGACTTCCGCCCATCTTCTTGGCAGCTTTTCGATTCCGCGTCGAAAGAATTCCTCATCTTTTGAGGCTATCCATTCATCGATCCATTTTCGCACTCCTTCAGGACAAAACCATTTCCATCGATCGAAACAAGTGGTAGTCAGAAGGAGCAAGGTCTGGAGAGTACGCGGGTTGACCAAGCCGATCCCAACCGAAGTCTTGTACTTTTTTTTTAACGATGTCTGCTCGATGTGGCCTGGCATTATCATCGTGAAACACAACTTTGTCTTGTTTAGACGCTTTTCGTGGCCGTTTAATCTTCAATGCATGCTCCATTTTGATTAATTGCATGCGGTAGCGTTGGGCTGTAACCGTTTCACTTGGTTTTAGCAGCTCATAATACACGACACCTTTTTGATCCCACCAAATGCACAGCATGACCTTCTTGCAATGAATGTCTCGTTTTGACTGCGATGGTCCTGGTTGGCCTGGATCAACATACGCTCCTTTACGTTTGAGGTTGTCGTAATAGACCCACTTTTCATCGCTCGTGACAATTCGATACAAAAAACTATGTTTTTTGTGCCCGGCAAGATTTTTTTTGCAT